ATAAATCCAAGAGTTTTATGGTTTCAAGGTTACTAAATACTAAATCTTGGAGGAGTGTACTGTATAGTGTATGCTCCACTTATTTGTATTAACAATGAAACTTATTGGGCATTATTAATCTACAGGGGTACACAAAAAGGAATGTTATTCGTCATTCTTGCAATTAGCAGTGCATATGGGGGGGGGTGAAGGGGGAAGTCCCCCTGGAAAAAAATTGGGACACGCAACACATTTTCTAGTTCCATGCATTTGGTTTTAGCAATTTGGATAAATAAATGACTAAAATACTTTTTTAGAATTTCAGAGGGCTGGGGAGGGGGGGAGGGTGTTAATTTCGACGTCTTGAAAATGTTGTATAATTAAATTCAAGGAAGTTTACCGGAAAACTTTTTGGAACAATCAAACATGACAGAAACCGATAACTGAATAAATTAACTATTTTTCGGCGATAAGAGTTATTTTAATTTTTTCAACAGTTGTTCCCAAACAACAAACTAATTTCTAATTTTTGGTCCGGGTTATTAAATGATTGTAAAAAACTCAGTATTTACACAATATACATCGCAAAAAACGTCTTAGTGATATCAAACAATTTTTTCTGTAATAATTCTAGATATAAAAACATAATGAATAATAAGGATTTTCTCTTGTTCCAGGATCCGACACTACTGATTTGTGGATTTTATAATCCTCTTTCTGGGATTTCTGGGATTTCTGGGTTTTTAAGGCGCTTTTCGCCCATCTTCTATTTCAATTGTGATTAGTTTTTTTCTTGTATACATTGTAAAACAATGATTTTGAAATTACTAATCAAAGGACTCTTTGCCACAAATTCAGTTTTTGTAAAACCTACATCTTTGCAACCTTATGATGTAAACCTTTGATATTTCAAACTTACGGTATTTGATCTCATAGCATTCATAGTTTGAAATATTAAAGGTCTACGAAATTGGGTTGCAACGATATTGAAATTAGAAAATTAGAGTTTGTGGCAAAAACTCAATTCCTTTAGTGTAAAGTACAGGTGGTTACACATTAAGGTTATTTCTAGAGCATATAAACCTATTGTAGCAGAATAATCTGATAAATCTCAATAATCTGGAATACTACTTGACAAGGTCTTTACTTTACAAGGTCCAGGAATATTCAGTTTCTAGCCAAACCTTCACCTGTAAACACACACAAATCAAAACAAAGGGACTGTTAATGAAAATATGCGGGGGTATAGGATTAATTACAATTGAAATTGATAGCGAGCGCAACCATTTATACTACTATGGTATATGTCCTGTCGCTATGAACGGAGAAATCTAATGATGAATTTTAATTTTCTTAAGTTGCACCAAATTTTAATTTTCATTAACAGTCCCAGTAAACTTTGTAAAAAATCTTTTTAAAAAAAACAATTTGAAGATTTTTTTTTTTTTCACTTTTTTTGTCTAAACGTTACAGGATATTACAATTGTTATTTAATTGAATTAAGACTTTTTATTATTCAAGCTATTTATTTGAAAAAAATATGATATTAATTTTTCTTAAAATTCTTCAAATAAGAAACAATCCGAACTATTCTGAAGAAGGATCAAAATTTTTTTTTTTAGAAAAATGCATTTCCTCATTCTTTTGTTTCTTGGAATCTCTCAAAGGGTAATTAATTGTTGCGATTATAGCATTCTAAAGTTAACCCTTACAGGGACTGTAAGCGTAATTTTATCTGACCTTGTGTGCAAAGATGACAATGCACGAGCTGGGTAACCTTGAAAGCTTTGTCTGATCAAGTATAGATTGGATAAAGATTATTTTGTTTATTTTAACTGTATTTTTTGTTGCGGTTTCTCTGCAAAAGTGACTTGCGCATTTCTTGTTTGTAAACAGCACAATATCTGTAATAACTTGCAAATATTATTTTGGCAGACGTCATGTAATTAATAGTCGACATTAGACGTAATTTTTATCCTAAACAGGCTTGGGGGGCCGTTTGACACCCCCCCCCCTCTAGTTTTTTTTGCCCTAGCACTTGAATTTTCGACCTATTACCGTGAAATGTTTACTTTTAATAAATAGAAATTTATAGGATTTTTGTAATTTTTTTTATGCATAGGGTAAAGTACAGGGCAATTAAAAGTCTGGTCTGTGTAAAAAATAATCTAAAATAGCCCGTAACTTTTTTGTGACTAAAGCTACAGATGCAAAAACTATATTTTTGAAAAGCCATTGAAAAATGGATTAGACACACTTTGATATTTGTTTAAACCAGGACATGATCCACTCGGCTACAATCTCGTGAACTATCAACGCCACTAACACTGGGCGCAATCTTGTTTGCTATGTCAACTGGGGAAAATAGCGATCTATTGACCAATTTCTCATATAAGACACAATCTCAATTTGTATGTTTCAACGAAACCATGATTACTCTCAACACTGTAATCAAAGCAGAGTTTTATATGTTACCAGTTAAACTCAATAGACATAATTACAATTCCTCCGTCGTTATCATATATCACATGATTAAGACGATCGACATGTTAGGTATTACAGCTGTACAGTTGAAATACGCCCAATTAAGATGTACGTTATTATATATATCACATGATTTAAGCTAATCATGCTGTGTATTCATTTCATTGGGTTTTACGTAAAATTTTACAAACGTAGATAGTTAATAATGTACAACATACTTCAGGTTTACAAAATATCATGTTTACTCAATATGTATTACATGTTGTCAAAATTGAACGCGTTTACTTTTTTTTAGAAAAACAGAAATATAAAGGTTACCTTTATATATAGAGAGAGAGAATAAGAAATTCTTTAAATGAAGGGTAGGTTGATCTTGCCTATACGAGTCTATAATCCCTTTAAATTAGAATCATTTGATAATTTGGTCACCCTAATGTACAATCTGTTTTAAGTTTAGTAAGTTTATTTAGTTTAAACATTATACAACACAGAGGGTAGCAGTTGGGAAATTAACATTACTTTGTTTAATACCTAGTTCAAACTTATTCATTCATTCATTCATTTATACAATCCTTTCATCCATTGATTACTTTGTTTAATACCTGGTTCAAACTTATTCATTCATTCATTTATTTATACAATCCTTTCATCCATTGATTATACTTTGTTTAATACCTGATTCAAACCTATTCATTCATTCATTCATTCATTTATACAATCTTTCGTCCATTGATTACTTTGTTTAATACCTGATTCAAACCTATTCATTCATTCATTTATACAATCCCTTCATCCATTGATTACTTTGTTTAATACCTGTTTCAAACTTATTCATTCATTCATTTATTCATTTATACAATCCTTTCATCCATTGATTACTTTGTTTAATACCTGATTCAAACTTATTCATTCATTCATTTATACCCATCCTTTCATTCATCCTTTCATCCACCTAGTGATTACTTTTTTTTAATACCTGATTCAAACGTATTCATTCATATACACTTATTAATTACTTTTTTCAATACATGATTCACACTTATTAATTCATTTATTCATTTATACCCTTATTCATTGATTACTTTGTTTGATACCTGATTCACACTTATACAATTAATTCATTCATTTACACCCTTATTCATTCTTTAATTACTTTTCTCAATACCTGACTCACACTTATTCATTCATTCATTCATTTAAACCCTTATTCATCTTTTGATTCATTGATTCATTGATTACCTTAGGGAGCGTCAGATTTCCGAATATTTTGTATCCGTTTCCCAATATTTATAGTTAAATGGTTTCCTCTTATTTTAGGTCCGTTTCCTCATATTTTTGATCCATTTCCGCTTATTTCAAAAACTTTGAAAATCTCAATTTGTTGATCGGTTTCCTCTAATGTTAGGTCTGTTTCCTAATATTTTAGATATGTTTCCTCTTTTTTCAAAAACTTTAAAATTGATCTGTTTCCTCATATTTTAAAAATTCGAGAAAATCCTTCAAAAGTTTAGAATTGTTGAGGGATTTCCGAATTTTTGTATCCGTACCCAATATTTATAGTTGAATGGTTTCCTGACGTTTAAGATCTGTTTCCTCAAATTTTAAAATTTTTGAAAAAAGAGGAAATGGATCTAAAATATGAGGAAGCTGACCTAAAATTTGAGGAAACCGATCAACAAATTACGATTTTTTAAAAAGCGAAAACGAATCTAAAATATGAGAAAACGTACCTTAAATTTAAGGAAACTGAACAACAAGTTGAGAGTTTTAAAGTTTTTGAAAAAGAGGAAACGGATCTAAAAGATGAGGAAACGGACCTAACATTTGAGAAAACGGATCAATTTTCAAGTTTTTGATAAAAGAGTAAATGGATCTTAGTTGTGAGGAAACGGACCTAAAATATTGGGAAAACCCTGGAAAATATTTCATTAAAATAAATCGGAAATGGATTTAAAATTTTGGCAAATCGATCAAAAAAAGAGGAAACTCCACAAAATCAGACTTTTGAGGGATTTCCGAAAAATTCGAAGAAATCGCGAAAATGCATCAACAAATGAATAATTTGATCGGTTTCCGCTCATCTTAGATCAGTGTTGAGACGTGTCCATGTCACCTTTGCCAACAACTCGAATTTTCTAATCCCTTTATCTTTGCAATCTGATGGTGAAAACCTTTGATATTACAAACTTTGACTATTTGATCAGAATTCATTGTTTGAAATATCCAAGGTCTACTACATTGGGTTGCCATGATATAGGGATCTAAAAATCACAGATTGTGGCTCAATTTCTTTGCTGTGCATTTGCACTCAAACTTCTGAGTTTAGAGTTATCTCAAGAAGACGGCTTTTTCATTTTTGAATAAAGAAATTGAGCTTTTGTCACAAACTCTGATTTTCAAACTATAATGAATTATTTTAGATCAAATAATGATAGTTTGAAATATCAAAAGTTAACACCATCAGGTGGTTGCAAAGATATAGCTATTTGAAAATCAGAATTTATGGCTAAAACTCAGTTCCTTTGCATGTTATTTAGGTATATGGAAAAGTTGAGCTGTGCGCCAGTTATCAATGTCGAGATGGAAAATGTCATTCTTTGTGCGAGGTAATATACAAGAGCTTTTAAATAAATAATGAAAAGGGGCTCGAATACTATCCAAAAATGAATAATTAAAAGATAACTAAGACTATCTTACTTTTGAAATGTCTACATGATGATCATTATGATCCTTTACTTTCTGTCAAAGTAACAGTTGCATTTTCCCAGATTTTATTTTTAAAAATTTAGCGGATTTTCTTAAATCATTTCTGAATAAAGTATATTTGATAGTTTTGAGAAATTTATGATAATATATGATCAAACATAATAGTTTTTAAAGCATCAAATAAAATGAAATAATAATCAACTACTCTAGGTTGGAACTGTATCTGCAGATTATTTTCATACTAAATTCAACTTCCAAAACCAAGGTCAAAGCTGGAAATTTATAAATGATGGGAAGGTTGGAACTTTTGAATGAAGTATTGTTAATCTTGAATGTTTCATCTCGATATCTAATGTGGTCACTTTTGAATTTGAGTATACATGCTTAATTTCTCCATTACATTTTCCTAGGAAGGTATATGAACACGTACTACGGGATAAAGAAAAGGATCAAATTAATACGTACATGGATGGAGTTCAATACGTACATGGATGGAGATCAATACGTACATGGATGAAGATCAATACGTACATGGAGGGAGATCAATACGTACATGGATGGAGATCAATACGTACATGGATGGATGGAGTTCAATACGTACATGGATGGAGTTCAATACGTACATGGATGGAGATCAATATGTACATGGATGGAGATCTATACGTACATGAATGGAGAGCAATACGTACATGGATGGAGATCAATATGTACATGGATGGAGATCTATACGTACATGAATGGAGATCAATACGTACATGGATGGAGATCAATACGTACATGCATGAAGATCAATACATACATGGATGGAGATCAATATGTACATGGATGGAGATAAATACGTACATGGATGAAGATCAATACGTACATGGATGGAGATCAATATGTACATGGATGGAGATCTATACGTACATGAATGGAGAGCAATACGTACATGGATGGAGATCAATATGTACATGGATGGAGATCAATATGTACATGGATGGAGATCTATACGTACATGAATGGAGATCAATACGTACATGGATGGAGATCAATACGTACATGCATGAAGATCAATACATACATGGATGGAGATCAATATGTACATGGATGGAGATCAATACGTACATGGATGGAGATCAATACGTACATGCATGAAGATCAATATACATGGATGGAGATCAATATGTACATGGATGGAGATCTATACGTACATGAATGGAGATCAATACGTACATGGATGGAGTTCAATATGTACATGGATGGAGATCAATATGTACATGGATGGAGATCAATGCTTGATCCTGAGAATCAGAACACAGAAGATCTGCCTTTAGTACAATTTTAACCACGGTCAACTACTGGTTCAAGGTTTTAAAGTGTTTAGGAAAGGATATAAACCTTTGCCACACATTCTGATTGTTTTGTAAGACCATGTTTCATTCATAAAACCCATGAAATTCATTAACATTAAAAATGATAAATCGAAGTGGGTACAAAACACCCAAAGTTAAAAAAACACCCAATTCAAAAAAGGCCCAAAATAGGCTTAAAAGATCAATCTTTACCAATAAAATTCGCAAATTTTTGATTAAATCTTCTCAAAATTATCAGTTTATTGAATTGACAACATTACATACAGAAAGAAAAACACAAATAGCTGTAAATAGGGTTATTAATCGTTTTGAAAACGATCGTCAAACGTTGGAAAACGATCGTTTTTGAAAAAAAATTACATGCAACTTTATTGAATGTCGTCTTACATGAAGTTAAAAAGTTGTTAGGGGAGCTAAAACTTGATATTTTCTTATAAACTACTCGATGGTAAGTTCAGATGCCCTTCAGGTCGGTTTCCTCTCTTTTTTAACAATCGTTAACGAAGGGACGTTGTTAACGATCGTAAAACGATCGTTTAAAAAACGACCATTTCTTAAAAACAAACTTTTTGAAAAAACGATCGATTTTAAAAACGATCGTTTCGTTTTTGATTTTTCGTTGTCGTTTTCATAACAAAACGATCGTTTTTCAAAAAAATTAAAACGTTAGCATCCCTAGCTGTAAACCAACCAGCAGGAATATCTATTCTGCACGGTAGAAGAGTTTCACTGTGGTCATGTTACATTAAAAGTTTTTAATATATAGTTTTTTAAATCGTCTTTTTTTAAGAACGCAGGCCTGTATCAACCCCAACCTCAGCTCAGAGTCTAGTATTTACTTCACCTTCAGAAATTTATAACTCCCCACATCCAAGATTTCAACAAGGTATACTAACTAAGTCAAAGCTCAATCAGCCAATCAGAACCCAGGATTCAAAATGCATCAAATTGGATGCATCTGACATTTCAAAATCTCAAATTAGAAAGTTCCAGCTGTGCATAAACTGTATAGCCCAGTCTCTATCTAAATTAGCTAATATAACATGTTTAGTTGCTGTTTATCAACCAGCTGTGCATAAACTGTTTAGCCCAGTCTCTATCTAAATTAGCTAATATAACATGTTTAGGTGCTGTTTATCAACCAGCTGTGCATAAACTGTATAGCCCAGTCTCTATCTAAATTAGCTAATATAACATGTTTAGGTCCTGTTTATCAACCAGCTGTGCATAAACTGTATAACCCAGTCTCTATCTAAATTAGCTAATACAACATGTTTAGGTGCTGTTTATCAACCACAGTCAGAATACAAAGTGGGTCATCTCACCGTCAAACTTCATGGAGCGTCCACAGGTCTAAATTACATTTTTTTAAATAATATTTACATTTTAATTGTTTCAATTGTAGATATTGTCTATGCTCTTTCATTGATTTACAAGTTTTTTTCAGATAGAATCTTTTTTTTGTCCACTTGTGGACCAAATGTTGCTTTACAGAGATATACAGGGTGTCCCTGAAAAAGTGTGTTTAGGCTTTTTAGCTTACTAAATATAGTTCAAATATGCTAAAAAGTTCTTCAAGTAGGTACAATGTCCACAAACGGTGGGTCGTCGATAAAACATTTTTCTCTAAGATGCTGTTTTGACCCTTAAAGCGGATCTAATATTTGAAAATGTGCTCGGTATCCTTTAAAAGATTTAAAATATTTCAAATTATAATTTTATTTTTACGTTAAAGACGACAGAATATAATAAATTGCACATTTTCAATGATAGAATTGAGGATTTTCACAACTAAAATACGAAAAAAGATTTCAAATTTTTTTTGAAAATCTTTGGAAAAGAGACCGACTAATTTCTAGTACATTTTGAAGAGCAAATGTTTCGACAACAACCCCCCAATTTATTGTCATTTTATCTACTAAGCCCACATTGTAGTAGAATAAGTGTGTGAATGTAAAAACGCAATATATATCTACGGAAATGGGCCCGAGCACATTTTTGAATATTATGCTTGAAGGTTAAAACAGCATTTTAGAGAAAAATGTTTCATCCACGACCTCCCCCCCCCCCCATTTGTGGGTATTAAACTTGGACGTGGACTTGGATCCTTCGGATTTCTAACTAATCATTCCTAGATGAAACTAAACTCAACAATTTCATTAACCTGAGGATTGACGATGATCTCGAACCTCCAAGAGCAACTACTGAGTCAGCCCTAAGTCCCATTGAACCTAATAATAACCCTGTTCCCGAAAAAGCCAGTAATGCAAACCCTCCTCTACCTTCACTAGGTATAATAACTATTGATATTTAGTTACTTTTTTCTACATAAGGAATGTCAGCGCAATTTCATGTGACCCTCCATGACAAGATGTCAATGCCTGATTCACAAGTACAACGGTTTCCCTGAAATGCTTTGACTGATAAAATCTGAATGATATATTCATGTTTTTATTTCATTAAACCGTTTTTTTATTTGCGGTTTCTCTGCAAAAGTGACTTGCACTTTTCTTGCTAACAAGAAGCAACTGAAAATTTTCAGAATTGAACACTTTTCTAGTCAGAAAAACGACAGTATCTCCCACATTTCCGAATACACTTACAGTCCTTTTAATGGTGTTTAGTGGGTCCCGAATACACTTACAGTCCTTTTAATGCTGTTTAGGGGGTCCCGAATACACATACAGTCCTTTTAATGGTGTTTAGGGGGTCCCGAATACACTTACAGTCCTTTTAATGGTGTTTAGGGGGTCCCGAATACACTTACAGTCTTTTTAATGGTGTTTAGGGGGTCCCGAATACACTTACAGTCCTTTTAATGCTGTTTAGGGGGTCCCGAATATTTTGGTGAAGTTGTTGTTCTTGGCTTTCAGGATTACGATTACAGTAATGGTAAAAAAAAATTAAGTTAAAATTAAAGTGATAAGAATTGCCTCAATTACTTCCCAAACTTTCACGTAAAAATTAAGAACGCAATTTCTCACAGATGACATAGATCTAATTAAATAACTTAGATAACACAAAATAAGGCACCTTGTTTAAGTAATTGATTTTTTTATTAAGAACTGACTACATAAAATAAACTTTGAAACCATGAACAGTTTGCTTTCTATCAGCATCAGTTTATTTGTTCAGATGGTGATGTGGATACTCTGTTTGACGAACCAGCCCCAGAATCTGAAGAATCAAAAAAGATGTCAACAGCTAATTCATTGCCAACCTTAGGTATGTTAAAGTCTTTTATCCCAACCTAGTGTTGATTATCAAATGGTCATACTTCATGACATGGTTGGTATTTATGCAACAATGAATGTGTAGAAAGCTCAATTTGATAAACTTTTAGCTCTTATAAAGGAGGCAAAATAAATATACAAAGCACCTTGATAATTTAACTAGAATTTTCTGAAATTAACTGCTATAAAGAAATGGCCAATGCACATGACAAGTATGCCCTTGGCTAAACATATCATAGAGAGCTCTTTCCATATTTCAAATGGTTTATAAAAAATTTATCCACTAAAAATAATTTAAAAAAATATACATTTAATTAGGGGGGCCGGAAGGCTTTGGAGATGCTACTGTTGAAGGTTTTAATGAAGTTGATTACGACTACCAAGAACAAGGAGGTTAGAAAACTTTCCTACAGACTTCATTTCTATTTTCTTAATATTTAAATTCAGAAATATTTTTCATATTTTTAATCCTTAAGAATCTGTTGAAGAGAGTAGAATCCAGGAGGCCTCCCAACCAAGCTTACCAACCCTTGGCGGTCCAGAGGACTTTGGAGAGGTCACCGTTCTTGGGTTTAACACGGTTGATTATGATTATGAGACAGATGTATCACTTCGAAGTTCTGAACCTGAAATCACATTCAGCACAATTGATGCAGTGTATAATCCCAGAGCAATAAAGACTAATTTGGTTACATCAAGTTCACCAATTGGTCAACCCACTCCTTCATACACTACACCAGTGATAAGACCTAGACAACAGTTAAGCAATAATAATTTCCAAGGTATTGGGGTAGGATCTTCTCAAAATACACAACAAGCGCTGAAGTCCTTGTCCGATACTCAGTATTACGGACCTGAGATAACCCCTGTCTTTCAAATCCCAGACTCTATTCCACAGTTCACAGTTCAAGATACAGACTTGGAGCTGTCAGCACCCGCATGGACTCCTTTACCTCTGGCACCCGTTCAACCATCACTACAAGCCTTGGATGCTAACAAGCTAGCACAGACACCCCCAAGGAGACCTTCCTCTTTGAGAGTTTCATCTTCTCGACGTCGTCCAAAGCAAGTTAGGCAACCTAGGGTGATAAATCCTATAGATGCAGTACTTCAATCCGTGGTCACTACACATGACTCAATTGTAAATCTTCTTTTTGGGAAAACCCCGTTAAATCTTGGCTAACACCATAAATTGGTTTACAAGACAATTCAATTCTCTGGTTTATTATGTTTAAAATAATATAATATAATATACTAATATAATATTATTTATGAAATATATGTAGTTTATGCCTCTTAATTTTTAGCTTATTGAAATATGAATTTCTAGGATTATTTGTTAATTTCTATTTTTAATGCATACAGTGTAGTGCAGAACAGAAGAAAGGCTGGTTGGTGTTTTTAAAAAATCAAAAATAACTACAGATTTCAAATGTAAATTTTAAAAGATCAAAAGTATTTGAGAAATTTTATTTTATTCTAAAAATTGATCGATTTTAATGTCTTAAGTATGTTTTGGATACAACTTTTCGGATTCAGAGTTCAGACATCCCATATTTGATAAAGATGAACTGGTCATTGTAAAAAGTATAATTTAAGTTTAATTTTGAACACTCAATAAAGTTTTCGTTATTGAAGAGACTACAAGCGTAATTTGAAGTAACCTCCATGCCCAAATCACAATAGTACCCTTCAAAGTTTTGTCTTTTCAAGAATGAAATAGATATCCATGTTTATAATTGTATTATTTTCATTTGTGGTGACTTTCGCATTTCTACAGTAGGAAAATTTACAGGAATTAGCAGAATCAAACACTTTTAAACCAAGAAAAACGACAATACATTTCACATTTTAACCAGTTTTCAAGGGCACCGTTGTGAATCAGGCTTATCTTTGGAGATCATTTGAATTACGCTAACCGTCCCTTCAAATACTTCAAAGCTGGAATCGAATTGAACTATTTTTACCTTGTCAATATATTTCCAGCAGAATAGTTTAATATTTATTGATCTCCAATCCTTTTTTAGAAAATGAACTTTTGGTCCAACTTTCCAAACCAAATACTCTATGATTTAAAAATAAAGATCTATTTTTTAAATCATACAAAATGATGTAACAATTCCTTTCTGAAGTTAAATATAAATATATCATATATCCTGAAACCTCTTAGGCAATAAATTGAAAGGTTTTACAGTCCTAACTTGTTATATCTTACAGTTACAGAAGTTTTCCACCTAATTATGAATTACCCCTTACATAAAAATTAGGCTTATACAGGGCCAGTCTTTCAGCTAGGTCAGCTTATATATATATGAAAGATATTATTTTTGATAATTATCACTGAAGTATAGAAAACTCTGAAAGTTAGTCACATAATTTATTGAAAGCCTCTACTTTAAAGTGTCGTAACGACTTGCTATTTGATTTTAATTCAACTATAGTATTGTGTAGCCCTGGGCATATACATTTTAAAAATAAAACGCACTTATTTATGGCTTAAGTATAAAAGTAGTAATTTTGTCCAAATACTTTCTAATTTTTGCTTGAGAGCGTGGTACATCTTGGTTTTTGCAGTGTTATAATAACAAGCTTCGCTCATTTTCCGGGTATTTGGGAAATTATATATTTAGAAAAAAAGCTTTTTAAAAAACAATTTTGAATTTTGAAAATAAAACCAAAATGATGATGGTGGTAATATAATTAAATTAAAATTTAAATGGACGTCTCAATCAGATTTAATTTTGGTATTCTCCAGATTTTTTAAAACATTTATTTTAAATAGATGATAGTATAGACACAATTTTACAAAGGTCTTACTCTAGATATAAAATATTTTTTGTTGTTTAAAATCTGTAAAACAGGGGTGAATATTTTTGATATAAATTGCGTTCAGATGTAGTTTAAATATTACTCAAAAGATGTTTATAAAATATTTTTCGGAAACAATGAACAAAATAAAAGATTTTTTATTTATTCTCGCCAAAACCCGAGATTTTAATACACATACAGTCCTTTTAATGGTGTTTAGGGGGTCCCGAGTACACTTACAAACTAAGCCCCACTGTTATCAAAACACCCGTTCTTTTGAGGAGTATTCAGCCGTAGACATGATTAGGATAATATGTCAACCAATAGGTTAAAATCTAGAACATATTCATCAAATCCCGCTCATCGCCATACCCCGGTACATATTCATTAAATCCTGCTCACCGCCATACCTCGCTATATATTCATTAAATCTAGTTCAGCGCCATACCACAGTATATATTCATTAAATCTAGTTCAGCGCCATACCCCGGTACATATTCATTAAATCTAGTTTAATTCAAATTCGTCAAATCTAGTTCCACACCATACCCTGGTACATATTCATCAAATTTGGTTCAGCGCCATACCCTGGTACATATTCATCAAATCTAGTTCAGCGCCATACCCTGGTACATATTCATCAAATCCAGTTTAGTGCCATACCCCGGTACATAAACATCAAATCAAGTTCAGCGCCATACCTTGCTATATATTCATTAAATCTAGTTCAGCGCCTTACCCCAATACATATTCATCAAATCCAGTTCATGCCATACCTCAATATATATTCATCAAATCTAGTTCAGAGACATAGCCCCTGGTACATATTCATCAAATCCAGTTTAGTGCCATACCCCTGGTACATATTCATCAAATCCAGTTTAGTGCCATACCCCTGGTACATGTTCATCAAATCCAGTTTTGTGCCATACCCCTGGTACATGTTCATCAAATCCAGTTTTGTGCCATACCCCTGGTACATGTTCATCAAATCCAGTTTTGTGCCATACCCCTGGTACATGTTCATCAAATCTAGTTCAGAGACTATACCCCTGGTACATGTTCATCAAATCTAGTTCAGAGACTATACCCCTGGTACATGTTCATCAAATCCATTTTGAATTTTAAGTGTAAAATTGTCTATTTATTATATTTAAAAGTAATACAGTCTATAGAATCAATCATATTATAGGGTAGAACAGTCTATGAAGTTAATTTATCTTAATTAAGGGTAGAACAGTCTATGCATTCTATTTACCATATTTAAGGGTAAAACAGTCTATGGAGTTTATTTACATATTTAAGAGTAATACAGTCTATAGTGTCTATCATATTATTGGGTAGAACAGTAAAAGTAGTTGATGTATCATATTAAAGGGTAGAAGTCTATCATTTTATTGGGTAGAACAGTAAAAGGAGTTGATTTATCATATAAAAGGGTAGAACAGTCTATACAGTTTTTTATATTTTGGGTAGAACAGTAAATGGCGTTTATTTATCATATTAAAGGGTAGAATAGTCTATAGAGTCTATTTACCATATGTAAGGGTAGAACAGTCTTTGGATTCTATTTACCATATTTAAGGGTAAAACAGTCTATGGAGTCTATTTACATATTTAAGAGTAATACAGTCTATAGTCTATCATATTAATGGGTAGAACAGTAATAGGAGTTTACTTAGGGTATAACAGTCTATGGAGTCTATTTACCATATGTAAGGGTAGAACAGTCTATGGAGTCTATTCATCGTATTAAAGGGTAGAACAGTCTATGGAGTCTATTCATCATATGAAAGAGTAGAACAGTCTATGGAGTCTATTCATCATATTAAAGGGTAGAACAGTCTATGGAGTCTATTTACCATATTGAAGGGTAGAACAGTCTATGGAGTCTATTTACCATATTAAAGGGTAGAACAGTCTATGGATTCTATTCTTCATATTAAAGGGTAGAACAGTCTATGGAGTCTATTTATCATATTAAAGGGTAGAACAGTCTGTGGAGTCTGTTTATCATATTAAAGGGTAGAACAGTCTATGGTGTCTATTCATCATATTAAAGGGTAGAACAGTCTATGGAGTCCATTCATCATATTAAAGGGTAGAACGAATTCAATGTTTTTCTATGGCTAAACACCAAACATTCAAAATACATAATACTAAATACATGGATACAGGGGGGTTTCTTTATCGGACACTATTTAGGGGTTTGTCGTTTATATAAGGGATTAGGGTAATAGCTACCTAAATTCTACCCTTCCTCATGCTATACATTCATCATTATCTGTATCTATCTTTCTATCCTTCTATCCTGATCTTTCCTTCTATTATCCTTCACTCTAAGGAGTTTCAAATTTTTAAATCACAAAATTTGTTGGACCACTGGCATTAAATTTATCTGAGCAGAATCATTCAACAAAATTTGATGAATGATTCTGCTAAGGTGACTTTTATGCCGGTACTCGATCCAACAAATTTTGAAAATTTGAAATTTCTTTGAGTGTTCTATTCTTCTATCCTTTTATCCTTCATTCTTTCTATGCTTCTATCCTTCTATCCTATTATCCTTCTATCCTCTATCCTTCTATCATTCTATCCTACTATCCTTCTATCCTTCTATCCTTCTATGCTTCTATCCTTCTATACGTTTATCCTTCTATCCTTCTATGCTTCTATCCTTCTATGCTTCTATCCTTCTATCCTTCTATCCTTCTATGCTTCTATCCTTCTATGCTTCTATCCTTCTATCCTACTATCCTTCTATCCTTCTATCCTTCTATCCTTCTATCCTTCTATCCGGTTATCCTTCTATCCTTCTATCCTTCTATGCTTCTATCCTTCTATGCTTCTATGCTTCTATCCTTCTATCCTTCTATCCTTCTATCCTTCTATCCTCCTATCCTTCTATCCTTCTATCCTTCTATCCTTCTATCCTTCTATCCTTCTATCCTTATATCTTTATATCATTTATCCTTTCTGTCTTGGTTTTTGATTTTTAAAGGCATCATTAAGAATATATATAAACAAAATTAATAAGACGTGGAAATTTTCAGTTTTTTACATCGTAGAAAATATTATACATTTTCTTTTTGAAAATTGTTTATTTTAAAAAATGGAGAAATTTATCAGAATTATCATTTTTAAGCTGAGGAATAAAGATGGTTTAGGTATGTCGGATGATTTAAGCTAATCATGGTAAGTATTTAAGTATCATTTGAAACGTAGTTCCAATGAATAATGTCATTTTGTCTAAGTTTACAACATTAAATCATTAATATGTACAAGGTACTGCAGTTTTACATTCTTTGCGGATATAAGTCATGACCCTGTTTCATAATCTGTACTTAAGGTATTAATATACGACTCTCTATATTTCTAAATCACTATCGCTTTATCTATCTTGAAGAGGAATGCAAGTGACACATATAAATTCATTGTTTACTGGGTTGTGGGGGGGGGGGGCACAACACACTCTGTTCTTAATCCCCTGCACTCTCTATCAAATATCCATATTTGTAAATATGGCTAAAATAGATATAGTTTAGTACTAAAAATATATCCAGAAAAATAAATTTTGAATATAAATCAATAATTTCTTAGACAAAAAATAAATTATGGACAGAATTAAAATTGATGTTTTTAATTGATCTTTAACCCAAATTTAACAGTTTTCTTGCTCGGGGTTGCGCTGTAGAAACCGTTAAGGCACTTTAAAAATTAAAGGCATATTTAAATTAAATTATGAAAGATCACAGGAAATTATAAAAGATCAAAGAAAATTATAAAAGATCAAAGAAAATCATAAAAAATCAAAGAAAATCATAAAACATCAAAGAAAATCAAAAAAAATCAAAGTAAATTATAAAAGATCACAGGAAATTATAAAAGATCAAAGAAAATGGTAAAAGATCAAAAGAAATGATACAGATCAATAAAACGTTAAAAGATCAACACAACTCTTAAAAGATCATTGAAACTGTTATTTTATCAAACGAAGATTAACAAAATTTGTTATATACACATATGATCAAAGGCTCAAAATGTTGAAAATCTAACTACTTTTTTTGTAAAGATCAAGAGTAAAAGATCAATGAGAGTATATAATAACTAAGATTGATGAAAACTAGAGTGTTAAGATGTAATAAGTGTGCAAAAGTGCCGCTAAAAGGGTTATATTATACACCATAATATACAATCCTTTACTTCATAATAACTCTGTTAAACCTCTTATCCGCTCAATAATCAACTCTTTTGTCCCCGCCCATCAACCAATCAGAGGCCAGGACGGACGAAGATCAGAAAACCAACCAATAGGAAGAGAGATTAGCCGGAATTCAACCAATAGTAGCGCCGCTTGACGGAGCTCAGCCAATCATAGGCCTGGAATGAACGAGATGAGATGATGCTTTATGTTGTTATAAGGAGACTATTAGGGGGGCAATTTGCGAGTGTATGAGGTTTGATTATAGTGTCCCTAGAGACCCACCAGTATCTTTATACTACCCACCGTATAAATACCAGCAAACAATTAGAATTCAATCAATCAATTCAACTTTGAACAGTGTTTTAATAGAGCCAAAGATCTTTGTGATATAAATAAGAATAAAAACAATGTATTTTATTGCCTCGCGAAAGCTTGTTAACTGAGGCCGTTTTTCAGGTAAGCTTAATTTATTTTCAAAGAAAAACTTTATTTGCAACTAATTTTTCTTCGTACATTTAAAAAAATAACTATTTTGGCAGATTTTCTTTTTTCATTATTGGTGGATTTTCGAAATACACAAAAATATTTAAGAATTGTTGTAATATATTTAATTTTTGTTACTTTATATACAAGCATATCACTAAGTTGATAGAAAAAGGAATATTGTATGTTTAAACCATTTTACCAAAATGATTCAGTTTTGACTATTTCTAGGGAATTTTGCCAAATTCTTGATAATTAAAATAAATCCTGTTAAGGAATTGAGTCTTTGTCACAAACTATGATTTTCTAATACATATATCTTTGCAAGTGCAACCCAATGCTTTAGACCTTCGATATTTCGAATGATGAAAGAACCTAAGTTTGAAATATCAAAGGTTTACACCATCATGTGGAAGATATAAAGGTATTAAAAAATCAGGGTTTGTTACAAAGACTCAATTCTTTTGTTGTAAAATGATTACCTCTGGCTTAATGGTAACTTCAAGTCAATTTAATAACTGAATTTCTTCTAAACCTAATATATTTGATCATTTCAAACTATAAATTTTATAAGATCAAATAGCCAAAGATAGAAGTATCTACGGTTTACATTATTCATGGTTGCAAAGATATAAGATAATTAGATTTTGAGGCAGGAGAGCAAAAAAAATGTGAAAAAAGGAATTATTTGTTCTTGAAAAATAACCTATTTAGTGTAAAAAATCTACTGTAAGTCTTAATTTTTGTTTAAATAAAATTTTGTCAAAAACTATATTTTTTCTAAGGTTTAAACCATGTTCCCCTTCTACTCCCCTAGGCCCCCCTGCCCCCCTCCAACCAGTGGAGCTTCCCGCCCCCTTCTACTATCCTCCAATTCAGCAGCTGTAGAGCTGCTTCAACTAGCACATAGATCACATCAAAGAGAGCAGCAAATAAGAGGAGAACAGCTCAGGGAAAAAAATAAATTTGGCGTTAAAAAATCATAATCCAAAGATCCCCTTTGTTTTATGTTTTTTTTTCATGTTTCAGTTTGGATTGACCGTGTTTAGCTCAATCAAGATCAATAAAGAACATTTTTCAAAATGAGAAAAATTGAAAACATAAAAAATATTTTTGTTAAATTCCATAATAAAGCATTTTTTCAATGTTTTTTCTTAATTTTTTTTTTGGAACGATATCTGTAAATTTAAATAAAAATAATATATATAGATATATAAATGGTTTTTACTTTCTGGCCATTGCTATGTTATTTTTTCAATATCAGAGATGGAAGTCTAAAAGAGGATGAAATCAGCTCAAAATACAAACCTTTTCTCAAATTCAGGAAACTTGGCGAATATTGAGACAAATGTTAGGGAAAAAGTGCCTAAAATACTTGAATTTTTAACTGTGTAAATGTAATAATAGGTGTTTTGAACACTGTCAATTTAACATTCATTTTGATAAGAGTGTAAATGAAATATTTAATTTTTTAACAGTGTAAATGTGGTTTTCGAATTTGGAACAATGTTAATGAAACATTTGACTATTTTACAGTGTAAATACAATATTCAAGTGTTTACCATTTTAATTTAATATTCGATTTTTTGACAGTGTAAATGCAATATTCAAGTGTTTAACATTTTAAATACAATATTCGAATCTTTAACAGTGTAAATGTAATATTCAAGTGTTCAACATTTTAAATTCAATATTCGATTTTTTGACAGTGTAAATGCAATATTCAAGTGTTTACCATTTTAATTTAATATTCGATTTTTTGATAGTGTATTAATGCAATATTCAAGTGTTTAACATTTTAAATTCAATATTCGATTTGTTGACAGTGTAAATGCAATATTATCGAAAGAAACTGAGCAAAATGATTCTAAACCAGTGATAAAAAGGTGAAACAATTATTTGTTAATTTTTTGAAAGAGGAACAGACAACGGTTTACAGGGTATCATTGTGATGCCCCTCTTTTTTACTGAAGAAACACTTTAAAAATCGTCTATAGTTCCTTTAAAAGCAGATTACCTTTTTCTACACATTGATCATATCTTGCGATAACTTTTATTCAATTTTCAATTTCCAGGGAATAAAGGTTCAAGGAGAAAAGTTGAAAAAGATGAATATTCAATAATTCTGTCTTTATAAATAAAAAATGGGCCATATCTAGGAATTTGTTTTTAGTGATACATTCAGCCCCCTCAGAGTTTAGAATAAAATGATTGAATCACGGGCAGCCGTAGTATATTTGAATTTATGAGCCGGGTCAACCTTTCCAGTCCCAGTTTGTACTGTACCACACGGGTTAATAAAGCAGACAATCAACAGGACTCGCCGGTGCAACATGGTTGACGCGGTCAGACTTTATGCTTCATTTATGTTGAATTTACTTTTACTAAAGGGGCAGAGGTGCTTGGCATATGCCGTACCCATTTCCGATGCCTGCCGGTGTATATTCAACTCAAGCAAATTCCATTGAATTAGAATCTTACAAGTTTTAAAATATTTTTAAATTTTTTTTCAAATAAAACAATAAAGCTTTCAAATCCATTTATGCAATCTCACTTGCGGATATAAAATGAAAATTAGAGACACAATGTCGCAAAGTCGAACCAGCTATTCCACACGAAGTTTATTAAATAGCCTAGTACAACTAGGCTATTTAATAAAACTTCGGCTCGAGCCTTAACTCCTTAACCCTATTCCCGCTGGGGGGGGGTCAATTTGACCCCAGCGGAGATAGGGTTAAACCCGACTTTAAGACCCAACTCTGACGACAGCTTGTGTCACTTGATTGACAGCTGCAAGATCTTCGGCTCGACTTAAGGGCCCAATTAAAATAAAACCGCCTTGGTTGGTTTTAATGGAGAATAAGGCTCAATGTTGAGTTTTGTTCTCATAAAAACCGGGAATGCGCCAATTCCTTCCATGAAAATTCGCCAAATAGAATATTAATTCGGTTTATTGAACTCAACTCTGTGGAAAATAAGATGCAGCTTGAATGAGAAAGCTCAAGCCGTAAATAAGGTCCGACGACAGCTGAGACCCGAGCCGTATTTTCCCGATTTTTTAAAATCGCGGGCTCAGGAAGGAAGCGTAATTTCAAGTGCACAGACAGATGGCAAAACCCGATTTACAACTGTACCCAAAAAGCGTATGAATAAGATATTAATATGTTTTTGTTTCTTTAAACAGTTTATTTTAATTTGCGGTTTTCTCTGCGAAACTGACTTGCTCCTTTCTTGCTAATATGAAGCAACGGAAAAAATTAGCTAGATTAAACACTTTTCGAGTCAGAAAAGCGAAGGTATCTTCCACATTTTGCATCAGATAAAGATTTCAAAGGCACCACGTTGTAAACCAGGAATTTTTTTCTCTGCATGTCACTTAACATTATGCTTACAGTCCCTTTAAATAGTTCGTATCGACATAGCATTGTTAGTTTAACTTGTTCTGTACTGTGAATGTGAGCCAAACCTATTTCAGCTACTTATCGTATTTCATCGAAACTGACCTCCATTTTTTGGTGCGGAAACCAATTGAAATTTTATTCAGGTCCACAAGTCCAGAGCCTACTAGTCCAAACAGTCCTTACCAACATCATCAAACTGGACTCTTTGGTCCTTCTAGTCCGTATCAGTATACAAATCAAACTTCTAGTCCTTCCAGTAGAAAAACTTCTAGTCCCAACGGAGCCAGAGCAGGGAGTCCAGTCAGTCCTCCAGCTAGTCCGAATATACACAGGGATGCTTTTACTTTTGAAATCTTTTAAAATTTCTAATGTTTAATCTTTTAAAATTTTGAATTTTCAATCTGTTAAAATTTTGGAGTTTTTATCTTTTAAAATTTTTAATTTTTATTCTTTTAAAAAATTTTTATTTTTTATCTTTAAAGATTTTAAATTTTTAATTCTTTAAAATTTAAAATTTTTAATCTTTTGAAATTTAGAATTTTAATCTTTAGAAATTTAGAATTTTAATCTTTTAAAATTTAGAATTTTAATCTTTTAAAGTCTTATTTTTTAATCTTTAAAATTTTAAATTTAGAATTTTTCAGAAAAAAAAAATTAAAATCTAAAGAACTGATTACTTTCCATATACTTTAATTTNGAATCTCAAGAGGGATTTAATAGGAATGGAGAGGGAGGGGGGTGGGTTGAATTTAACATTTTAATATTTTGTGTGAAAAGAAGAAAAAAGTAGGGAAGGGTTTGAGTGAAGAAGGTTAGGAAAGGGAAAGGAATGAAGAGGAAAACTAGGATCAGTGTAATGAGGAAAGTAGGATGGGAGAAGATGGGACAAGGAAAGGAATAAAGAGGAAAACTAGGATCAGTGTAATGAGGAAAGTAGAATATGGGAAGGTGGGACAAGGAAAGGAATCGAGAGGAAAACTAGGATCAGTGTAATGGGGAAAGTAGAATATGGGAAGATGGGACAAGGAAAGGAATAGAGAGGAAAACTAGGATCAGTGTAATGAGGAAAGTAGAATATGGGAAGATGGGACAGGGAAATGAATAAAGAGAAAAACTAAATGTAGGAAGGGTGGGCGGCGAAAGAATGATGGAGAAAGAGGGAAAAGGGGAGAAGGAATATGAGGATTGGGGAAGAGAGGGAAGGTGAAAGAAGGAAGAAAGAAGAGGGGAAATGGGAGAAGGAATATGAGGATTTGGGAAGAGAAGGAAGGGGAAAGAAGGATGAAAGAAGAGGGGAAAGGGGAGAAGGAATATGAGAATTGGGGAGGAGAAAGAAGGGGAAAGAAGGATGAAAGAAGAGGGGAAAGGGGCGAAGGAATATAAGGTTTGGGGAAGAGAGGGAAGGGGAAAGAAGGATGTAGAAAGAGGGGAAAGAGGAGAAGGAATGCGGGGATTGGGGAAGAGAGGGAAGGGGAAAGAAGGATGTAGAAAGAGGGGAAAGAGGAGAAGGAATGCGGGGATTGGGGAAGAGAGGGAAGGGGAAAGGAACACTTAGGAGAAGTACGGAAGTGGGAAATAAAAACAAGGTTAGAATTTTAATCTTTAGAAATTTAGAATTTTAATCTTTAGAAATTTAGAATTTTAATCTTTTAAAATTTAGAATTTTAATCTTTTAAAGTCTTATTTTTTAATCTTTAAAATTTTAAATTTAGAATTTTTCAGAAAAAAAAAATTAAAATCTAAAGAACTGATTACTTTCCATATACTTTAATTTTCATATGGTAAAAGAAATTCTGTGAATTTTTTCTGATGATAATATAAAAAGAGAAACACTTTCCTCTAATTCAATTGTATCTTTCCAATCAAGCTTTAGATATCAAACACTATAAGAATGTAAAGATGTTTTGATTTAAAATTAGAGTTTGGGGTGAGTATTCAGTACGTTTAAATTTTCTGGTTTATTTTTTAGAACGTCAAAACGAGTTCTGACTTATTAAATGTAATTTTTTAATTTATGTAATAATTTGTTTTGGTAAATTACGCAAAAAAATGTGCGTCAAATGAATGTTAAAAACTAAATCTTAAAATCATATTCAACTTATTTTTGTAAAATGTAAAACTATTAACAGATCAACTCCTAGTCCTGCCTATCCCCCTCCCTCCCTACAGCGCACCACCCCCTCCCCACTATACCCCTCCCCTTCAAACACCTACCTGGTTGCGCCCCTGCCAACTAAACCAATGGTACGCCCCCTTCTCCAGGGGTTCTCCCCCTTCCATCCCCTGATATACCGCCCCTATATCCCCCGCACACCCTTCAGTATACCAGGTAACTAATAGGCGTGGCCAGGGGCAAAATTGATCTTGATCTTGATCTTAATACTGATCTTGATCTTGATCTTGAGCTTGAGCTTGATCTTGATCTTGATCTTGATCTTGATCTTGATCTTGATCTTGATCTTGATCTTGATCTTGATCTTGATCTTGATCTTGATCAACATTGCCCCCAACCCCCCCCCCCTTCCCTGGGTCAGATATAAAACTTGATAAAGTTTATTTCCCAGGAACCGGAACTACAGTGTTTCCTCTTCCTGGAACATTCCCTTGGTCAGCTGGACTTCGAGGTAACAATTTTTTTAAATGTTTTTTTTTAATCGAAACATTGAATGATATATATTTAAGTTCCAAATTAATCCTACAGTTCTTGGTAATTAACGATGTGTTGATCCACGGCACATACAATGATTGGCAGTGTTCTTTTCAGTGATAGTTTTTCATTTTGTAAATTCGTTTTTAAAATTGTTTTGATCCAAATTCGGATCGCAAACTATTGTTGAAACATTTTTATGATTTTTTCTGAAATCATGACTATTTGATTTACATGTTTACAGGTAATTATTGTTTATTGTTTAATTATCAAAAGCTTGTACTTTGACTGGAAAAAAGAGTTAGAAAGGTTTAAATACAGATTTCT